CAACTTGGTCGGGAAATGGTATAGTTTGCAATCGACTCCGTAATTCGACCCGGCGAACGACTGCCTGACGATAGGTATCGGAGCCGATAGATGCGTCATCTGGTTGCAGTGACTAATGACTGGTCACTGATGGCTAATCCAAAGTGCATAAGTAGTTAGTAGTAGTAGTAGTAGTAGTAATAGTTTGATACGGATGATTTTGTTTAGCAAACGATTGATGAACCAATCCTCGTACCAATATTTGCCCGCCGCACAATGCCATTTTACACCTTTGGGGCTAATTACCCTCAGGTTTGGAATCCCTAATCTATGGGGACAGCCACAGGAAGCCTGCGCCTACGGGGCCATGGGTGGTGCTGTGTCTGCAGAGACGCCTTCACCACACGACCGCAAGAAAACTCCAAAGACCTGCCACGAATGAATTGTATGCATCGAATCTTGGGTGCTTAAATAGTTTTGAGCATGGGCTAAATAGATACTACTGAAAGCAATCAAGCCGACTATATTGCTGAAAACATGTAAGCAAACTGAAGCCAATGAAGACTGCTCAATGAAGGAGACAATAAGGGGCACGCAACAAACGAAAACTGGAAACGTTAGCAGCCATGTTGAACTGCTATTCGTGGACAGAAACAATGACTAAGAGTATCCAATGAAATTAGCGAAATTATGTGTTTAAACACATGTCAGTAACAGCGATAGCGGAAGAAAACAAATCGTGAACTAAGAGTATTTTCCAAAAATGGTATGTTCAATTACTGTCCTAACAGCTGGCTTGCGATGCACCACCACAGCTCCATTCACGCTCCCCATATCCAGTGTAAACCCGAAGGAATAAGACCGGGATGCGTGTGGATGGGAGCCACGTTTCATCGACGGAGCCGGCCCCCACTCCAACATGCACAGCAGCAATCTTCCTGTCTGTCTAACTGCAGGGGAATCATGCGTATCAGACGTACACAACCCGTTGACTGGGCCGCATCTTGTTCCATACAGAATGTATGGAACCACTCTTCGAGTCTGGCACGGCTACGAGAGCCGTGCACACCGTCCCCCCAGCAACGAATAACTGTCTCCTGGAGCCTGTATAGGAGAGGTGGTGGGTAATGGACGGGTCTTGTCAACATCCACATAAACGCAGGCACACTGGGGATATCGAACAAACAACAATTCGAAGGAAAGTTAACACTCAGAAGTGGCGGAATACAGCGCAAATAGAGAACTGTGCAAATAAAATAACGGGTTACATTTTATGCAGGTCAAGGAGCTCTGCACCTTTTCTCAATTGTATCGTTTCCCCAAATGTGGTGCTTGAAGCTGCATCGCGAGCGTCATGTGACAAGTCGCACGTGTGCACTCGTGTGCGTCATACGAACTGCGTTTGCGACGTGAGATCACGTGATCACACGCGATGCAGCGTCACCGACGCAAGCATTTGGGGGAACGATGCGACGAATTTAGAGGTCTACAGAAAAGTCTAGGTAATAACAATGTTAACCATAACACACTTGTTGATTACGCGATAGGGTACGTCCTCCACCATTATGTGGAAATTTCATACAGATTTGTTAGTGCAAGGTTGTTCATCAACTGCGAGTAATTTCGGTAGCATTTGCTACTGTATAACAAGCAGATATTTCCTCCAAAAATGCATGTAATGTCCTAAAAAATCATCCTAACTGAAGAATTGCCATCCTAAAAGACGCAACGAAAAACTGCTCAACATAAGTACTTTGCAAGTGAAGTACTACACAGGATGTGTTACATAAGGACTTAAAAGAACAGCGTGAACTCGAACAAATAAAACAGGCTTGTAAATAATGCTGTGTTATAGTAGGGTCCATGTATACCAAAGGCACGACGGGATCAAACTAGTGTATGGGAAACTTCAGTAGACATTTCCACATGCCGCCATACTCTGGGTATTTCTGCACTTACGTTGTACGCTTATGTCTTGGACATTGTCTGTAATTAATAGGTGCGATGTATGTTATTCAAGATAAGTGGGTTGTTTGATAATGAAAAGAATACTGAACACTAACTTCGTTGGCCGACGACACTTAGAAATTTGATTTTGCACATAGTAAAGTCATGGGAAGGTCAACGAACGCCTTACGTTATATCAACCTGAGCTTGAATGCTAGTCTTACGAATGCTTCGGTTGCTTCCCTAACGAATGATAAAAACAAGTAAAACGGAAGCAGAGTATTGGGGGACAAGGTGGTTGAAGTCGTGTTGAGAAGACCTGATTGTTCAACAAATCAATGCGTCCGTCGTCCCACAAGCAAGTGGCAGGTGTAAAAGAAGGCAACATGGAAATGGAGTGATGAGTGAAGCGATAATTAGCTGGATTTGTGGTCTAGCCATTCAATATGCCACTAATTCAACTCAATGATATCAGTGAAGCCAATTGAAAGCAGGTGGGAGTATCGAGGGCGACTCTGGGCTGAAGAGGATACGACAAAGCTTGGGTGCTCCACCTAATGAGTTCACTAGCCAATGGCGAGTCTTTAGGCCAGGTGAAATTGAGCACTTCAATAGAACGGAAATGTCGGTTGAAGACCAGCAACTGTTATTTCGATGCAACTGCCGAGATCACTGGTTACCTTTGGTTATGTATGATCTGAAGTTTGCTCATATGCCTGATGACTAGATATGGACCAGTCCAGAAATGCAATTACCTTACCAATTGTCAGATATTCGCTGACACGGATGTCTGCAAACAATTCGTTTCACATTCTGGAGTTACGAATCAGAGCAAATTTGCTAGGGGTGTTTGTTTTAGTCCTTTTCCTCTACGGAATTTCCTTTGCCGCATGTATTGTGCACAGTTGGTTTAAAAGTGACGCGTTTATGCTGGCTGTGTGTACTTTTGTGTATGAGACTGAAAAACAGCATTAGGCTTACCTTTAAGCGTCGTAGCCATATTGGGTCAAGCCTAATTAAATCACATTGCTCGGAGTAGGATAGCGTCTAACATGCGCCGGAGTGGCTCTTGGTGAACATCCGCTGCACTTGTCATATGGCGATGCGAGAATGCTTCCTTGCGCTGTTGTATGTCTTCAAGTGACTGACCGACAAAATCAAGGCGAACGGACCGACCCGCTATGTGGGCTTCCATCCCAGCTGGTATGCAACTATACTGAATGGGCTGAGGTGGAACGTTACTTGCTTCTGTTTGAGGGCTTTCGAAGACTTGTTTAACATGTCACCAGTCGCCACCTCTACTAGTCTAGTTACCGAAGACCATGCTGTGTGGGTTGGTTCGGCACAGCTTGCATCGTACTTGACTAGCTGGACTGCGCATATATGAAAAGCAGCTCCAGCCCGCTGGGACCGCCGAGTATCTAATGCGGATCTTCACCACCATTTTCCTTTCACTATTTCACCTGATGGTCATTTTAAAACGAATCGTCTACACTGTAGTCTCTTCATATCTGCAGGTCTTCACTTCCGTTCTCCTGAATCTCCGGGTTGTTAAGACTATTCTGTCTAACGAGAGCATACAAAACCGGTTAAGCTCCTTCATTGAGTTGCTTCCCATCATTAGTGTAACTTGGGTCTGGATGACCGATCGTGCCAATCATGACATTACTAAGACATTCACATTCGTCCACACACTACTGCCCGATGTCTCTCGCGTTCACTTTTTTAGTCTTTCTCTTACTGACCCTCCGCGTATTCCTTGTCTCCGTGTAAACTACATTGTCACATCTGTTACTGTGTTGATAATAGTGGACGTTAGAAAGTAGCCGATCCGCGCACGGACGATTTAGATTAGGCGACATTTATCATGTAATGCATCAACACCACGGCGGTAGAATGAGTTCTTTATTCACCTCCATTTCTGGTGTTTCCTCTTTCTTGTTTAGGAATTGCTTGATCTCTTGGCAGTACTGTCAGTTGTATTCGGGGCCTACTACTTGCCGCACCAGTCTCAGTTATGTGCAAGATTAGCCCACCTATCTCGGAAGAGTACGGGCAACTAACCAAAGATTAAGTGTTGAAGCGATGGAAAGTGTCAAGACAAATAACTGTGCGAACCGAATATATGGGGTGAAGCTTTTGAACTTGTGGCTGGCTGTCTTAACCCCGTCAGATTGAATATCGTTGTCGGATGGACTCAGGTTAGAGTAGAAACGTCGAACTATCATTAGTGGAATCAGCCGCAACAGGAACAAGAGCGCCTAACATGTGAATGACCTGTGATATGGATCGATTGGAGACGTTCCATATTTGTTTCACCACTAGAATGACCCTTCGATCTATTGAACTGTAACCACAATTATCCACTGACTCGATGTCGCCAAACTCGGTCTTTCAGGGGCAAATGGTTTACTCAACAACACAATCTCGGTGGAAATGACAGCATAAGTGACCTGTAGAGGGCTTCGATGTATATAACTGGGTCGCTTTCTTAACTAACGATGTTTCTGCATTCATTTCGGTCAAACAAATTCACTCCAGCACAGCTAAATATTAACCAATCTGCTCGGTCCGTTTGTGGCAACCTGGCTGTTTGCTTGTTCACCTAAATCCGTCTTGTCCCTCTGCTCCCAGTTACCATCCCAATTTGTCATAAAAGCCAAGTCAAGTGTACACCGTTTCACTTGGTCTGAAGATACTCCAGTGTCAATAGTGGCACATGGCCACAATACCAGCCTATTTGAAACTGACTTGTATTCTAAAACCTTCCGAAATCTTCCCACTCACCTGTTGGTACCATGTCTACCGTGGAAAACACCGGCAGTACTCAAGTGGTAGTTTCGCGCTACGGAGGTGTATAACTAGGCGTCTATAAGTAGTTTTCCATCAGGCTCGCCACTGAAACTGCTTCCGTTTCCTTGCACACCTGCGCCTACATTTTTCTACAGCGTCGATCCGTTCTTGAGCCCATTGGCTCTCAGTGTCTCCATCAACAAGAAAACGTGCTTAAATGTTTTATGCCCAAAGCACCCCGATAATCTCGAATGTCTTGTTTTTTCCTTTCTGTTTTGCAGCCTGTCGGGAATGAACCTCGTATTTTGAAGACCTTCGAACCGAAATCAACAAGCGAAACTGTTTCTTGGAATCAAGTGAAACAAAACCTACATCATACGTGAGTTGTTCTGTAGCTCTCATGTTGACACTGGATAAAATCAAGCAGTGACATTCTTGCCAGCTCTTTGACATTATCTTCTCGTCCGCTTTGGTCGTTTTACGCAACAGTTTCATGTTCCACTGATGAGAAAGCGGCGCCGTCAATTCATCTGCGTTACCGACGCAAGACACGTAACCTACAAACCGATACTCAGATTTATCCGTAAGGACAATCCCTGCTCGTTTATCCGGCCTAGAGAGCAGCACATTTTCGTTCCGTTTAAGCGCTTTGAGGGCGTCTAAATGCGCGTTCGTCAGTAAATACCTGACTTTAGCTTTGTGCTTCACTTACTGGTAGCATGTATGGACCATGGTGGATTTAAAATGCTCAGCAGCTAATGCTGACGAGGGTGTAAGCATAGCTACTTGGGAATGTGCAATTTCAAACTGGACTTCTAGTTCTAGCTGACTTGTGTTATTATGAGGACAACAAAATTTCGGACCGAGTGAAAGACACTACTTGAGGCACTGAGTATTACGCCAATCTGAGTATGTCGCCAAATCTGACTATATCTGAGTATATCGCCAAGATGAATGCCATCCTCAACGATCATTCAAAATTCCGGATGATGGAGAAAGAGAGCGACAAAACGGCCTCGATAGAAAAGACAGTCAGAAAGCTACTACGCTTCCTGAAGCAAGAAAATGCGATTGACTCAGTGGTTTTCGAGTACACGCGTCCCTCAGGGACAGTGATTCCACGTCTTTATGGCTTACCGAAAGTGCATAAAGAAGGACTTCCATTGAGGCCAATATTAGACATGTGTGATTCTCCATATCACTCAACAGCGAAATGGCTCGCTAAGCTTCTAGAATCGACCAGAAAAGTCCTAGCCAAACACAGCCTCAGAGATGCACTCAGCTTCGTAGACTCCATAAGCCATATGCAGTTAACCGGAAGGAAAATGTTTTCTCTAGATGTAGTGTCGCTCTTCACTAATGTTCCGCTGGAGGAGACGATAGACTACCTTTTGTGACGCTGTTCGATTGCACTATGTGGATGTCGGCCTCTCGAACGAGCGACTTAAACAGTTGCTTCCGATGTGTACCAGAAACGTACAATTCCTGTTCGACTGGAAGATCTACAGACAGAAGGACGGAGTCGTAATGGGCTCTCCGTTAGGACCATTGTTACCAGACGTATTTATGAGTAAGTTAGAGAACAACTATCTAAACGGAGTTATCGACAAATTAGTCTACTACGGACGGTTTGTGGACGATATATTCTGCATATCAGATAGTCATTTATGCACGGATGAATTAGTGAGGCAATTTAACTCAGCCCACGCAAACATAAAATTCACCCTTGAATCTGAGTGCAAAAACTCAATGTCGTACTTATAAGTTCAGATTAACCGAAAATCTGACGGGTCGGTCCAGCGCAATGTCCATAGAAAGACAACGTGGAATGGGCAATACATTCACTTTGCCAGCTTCGTCCCGCTCAGCCAGGAACGGAAACTTGTTCGGTGCCTAACCGAGCGAGCAAGAAGGATATGTAGGGATTCAGAGTCAGTCAAGAATCAGTCATTCGTGAAACATAGGGTCATGTACACTGTGCATAACTTTGTGACGCTATTCCCTTGTATGAGTTTCCATGGGCTTGCTTTCATTGTCGTCTCTCATGCTTTCCATTGGCCTGCACACTCTGGTATTCCAATGCGCTCCATTCAAACCACATACGTCTTGTTTGGTGCTTGCGCAGCTAGGTACGTGCTATGCCGTGCCAACTTTACGTTTGCCAATGTTGCCGTTGCAGTTTTAGCCATATCACTTGGGTGGTTCTTGGTCCCTCCGTTGTGTCAACTACGTTCGCCCTGTGTGTTGACCAGCTGCCATTACATCCACTGTGTTGCCAGCTGAGGCTAGTTGGCGGACGCACGTGCTGCCTACTTATCAGCTCTCCGTTCAATTCGGTTCCTTGTTCGCATCGTCGGTATTTTTCTCTCTTACTAAGCTGAACTAACGCTGTCCTGTCCATCCGGTCCGTTTGGTCAGCCTGCGTAGGGGGTGCTTCAATGACTTCCTTTCCACTGACCCCATGTCGATTGTTTCACGAATGATGTATATTTTTTCATGTAACCGCGAAATCGTCCCCATAAAGAGACGGACCGTATTTACATGTGCAACATGTTCACGCGTGCAGGACTGTCAATGGTTAAGGATTATGCAGAGATGCATAGGTACATTTGGGGACAATCATTTGGGGTTTTCACTGTCGTTTCCTTTCAGAACCGAAAAGTCCCCCATTTTCTCCGGTTGAGGTTGGGGGATATCACATAGGCGGCGGGTTCATGGAACGGGAAGAAAGATGAAAACCGTTGAAGCAATTGTAGCCATCAACCAAAATCAGACGAGTGGCACACAATCAGGCAAAGTAGTCTAGAGTAATACACGTCAACTTATCTGTACTTTGTGCAGTTTTACTCAAATGCGAATAAAAGAGCAAGCTAGGATTAATATGTCCCCAGAGCTGCAAATGAATCTTCAAAGCTCCCGCTGTATTAGTCAAGTAATGTAAGGTGGTAAGCACATAGGGGCAAGGTAAGGCAGAGGGAAGTGCCTGGACCTTCCTAAGCCTTGCTATCGTATTGACCTGGTCTCAACCACGGACTGGCAACAGTCGAGTTGCGGGTTCGAGCCCTACCAGGGTCCGATGGAATGCGCACTGCTGATGATTCCCGAAAGGATGAAACGCGCGTACAGTGCTTTTCCGGGCGTGTGGCGGCTGTCTGAGTAAGTCTAGATGTGACGAATTTCTACCTATACCATTCAACTCCCCCTACTACTCTTCTGTAATCAGTACGCAGACCAAACTGCTTATAATGCCATAAGTTAATTGGCGGCTTAAGTTTGGTAAGCTCGTCGCTTGGTGAGGGGCTACCCTGTCCTATGCGCGGCAGTAACGTGTAAGTCAGTGGATAGTGAGCGGCGCTATCTCACATCTAGTAACTTATTCACGATGGTCGTTGCCGTCCCCCGTAGCTCAGTGGTCTCAACGACGGACTGGCAACAGTCGAGTTGCGGGTTCGAGCCCTACCAGGGTCCGATGGAATGCGCACTGCCGATGATTCCCGAAAGGATGAAACGCGCGTACAGTGCTTTTCCGGGCGTGTGGCGGCTGTCTGAGTGAGTTTAGATGTGACGAATTTCTACCTATACCATTCACCGCCCCCTACTACTCTTCTGCAAACAAGATGTGTTGTGTGTTACAAAGTTGTTGCTTTCTTTTCAGCTTTCACTTGTAGTTGAAAATTTATAGCCTCCGCAGTCGTGAGACGGAAGAGGTAATCTTGAGGTTGGAGGAGTAGGTAAAAAAAACAGGATAATAAATAATTATTTGTTCTGTGCAGTGCTGAACACCCTCATCAAGGCGTGACTTACAAATTACGCTTATGTAGGAAATCTCGGATACAAGGTGATTAGGAAAACATACAGATAGCTAATCGATTTTTGGCATAATGATCTAATTGGAAGGAAAGACACTGCAATAAAATTAAGGACGTAGTCTAAGGAGTAAATTCATGGGTGTAATCGATAAGACAGTCAGAATGAATAATTGAAGTAACCAGGATCAAGAGTCAAGAGATCAAGCGAAATCGTGCAATCATCCCTGGGACTGTCTCCTTGGGTCCTGCATCCACGCAGGCTAGTTCCTCGAGAGATTTCATCCACACCTCTACACCCTATCTGGTCATGTGTCGCCGTGGCTTAAAAGCAGCCTAGACACCACCGACTTTTGATACCATTTGGGCTTCTTTTTGCTGTAAGCTAGCAACTCAAGTCAGTCAGCCTGTTCGCCATACATTGCTTTCCGTCTGGGCGCATGATGACCGAATTCACCGAAATTGGCGGCATATGCCACTAGGTGTGAATTCAGCATTTCAGATTGTCATGTTTTTAAGATACTGTTTTAATATACATCATCATAGAGGAATTCCCCGCGTTAGGAAAGGGGAAATTTGTCCTTCCGCCTGCATAGTGGCGGTCGGCAACGTGAGTAGCCTTCAATTGCATTTCTGTCTGCTTGTTCCCCATCGACATCGTTCATCCAAACCGCAATCTCCCATCTAACGACATACCGTTGTCTGGATACTCCATCGCCATCACATTGATTGATCTGTCTCAGCACCTTGTCAACCCCTGTATCTGTTACTTCTACATCACTTTCACTCAATCTCCGCTCCTCTCACTGTCTACCACCAGGCCCATTGGGACGTACAAAACCGGTTTGTTAGCTGAATTAGAGCATTCACAACTGGACCTTGCTACTACACGATGGCTGGATCAGGACGCCGCTTCCTTTCCATCGGTGTCTAGCTACCCCGTGTCCTTGTCCGATTTCGCTCGCGGACCCGCCGTGGAGGCCTGTGCTTGGGACCCGATTTCACAGGTAAGGTTTGTGTTACTGGCGCAGGCGGAGGTTTGCTAGGATGATAGTGCGGATATATTCATCTGCGGTGGTTCGACAGGGTACATACTACCATCTTGATTACTGTTTTACTCCCTGTTAAGTTTGGCCCTTAGCCAATAATTGAAATAGAGCGCGCACGCGTAGTATGGAACCGATTTACTAAAAGCATCCTGCGTTACTGTGGCTAGAGAAGCCGGAAAGGAAACACAATGAAATAAGGAAAATAAAGCAAGGTCATTCTCAACCAATCATGTGAGGTCCTGTGTTTACGAATCGATACTCAAGTGCCTACGTGACACCCCTCTCTTCCCGGGTCAAGACTGCAGACTCCGGGTTGATACCGATCATTTGGCTTAGGCGTGTCCGTTTTCAGCGTCTTAATTGTGGTTGTATCGCATCCGTTTGTGGTTCCTGGTTTTTGTGAAACAGATTCTCCGCCCGTTTTTGTATCCGTAACAGTCGCTTTTTGATCCAGCTCCTGTGGCTCGTCTAAGCGGGGCCGGATATGGTCAGAATGGCGACGCACCACACAGCCGTCCTCCAGCTGTAGCTTCACTTGGTTACTCGTTGAGGACAAGAGTGTAGCAGGTTGCCAGCTTGTTTCGTGAGGCAGTCTTGTGTATACCCGATCGAAATCATTAAGACACCTTTCCTCTGGCATCTTTTCATCCACACACATTTTTATCCTGCTTTTCCTCCATTCTCCTTCGAGGGTTCGGAAAAAGTAGGTACAGTCTCGTTCGTAGTGGCCGTCCAAACATTAATTCCGCGGGTGACTTCCCTGTTGACTCAGTCGGTGTCGTGCGGTAAGAGAACAGGAGACGATCCAACTTACTTTGTAGTTCCATGAGTCTGCTTGAGGAGACGTTGCTTAACAGTCTGGACTGCACGTTCTGCCATTCGACGCGGGATGTTACGGCGCAGACTTAATGTGCTGTATTCCGTTGTTACTCAGGAACTGTTGAAACTCTTCATTGGTAAATGGGGAATACCGAAAATGGCGAATATGGAGCGCATTTTTGCAGCTGTTGCTGCGGAAGTCGCATGTGGAACTGGATGTACTTCTATCCATTTAGAATGGGCATCAGCCAAAAGTAGACATCAACCCATTGATTGGGCCAAAGTAGTCCGCGTGTACTCGCTGCCAGGGCCTCTCCGGCCAACACCATGGACATATCGGTCCGGGGGATCTTGCCTTTGGGATTTCTGACGTTCGCAGTTTTCCAGCAGCCGCTCTATATCCTGGTCGATGTTCGGCCACCAACAGTAAACACATGTCAGCACCTTCATCCTGTTCACGCCGGGGTTTGCGTCATGCAGTTCTCTCAGCAATCGGGGCCGCAGTTCGTCTGGGGTAACTATGCGCGAGCCTCGAAATATACAGCCGTCGTAGACACTCAACTCATTACTCCGACAGGCGAATGGCTTCAGTTCATCAGACGTGTTTGTAAGTCATCCGGTCATCAAGAGCCATTTCACCATCGACAACACAGGGTCCGGTCCGTCAGGCGCCGCACCATCTCACTCCGGATGATTGTTTTCTCAAGATCTTGCATCAAATTGATAAACTCCATTGGTTCATTATTCATTTTTGTACCCTGCTGCTGCGGGGAGCAACTAAGCGCATTGTCAGCGTTATTACTTGGTCCGTTTACATACTGAACTTTGTAGGTATGGGCGCTCAAAAGTATTGCCTACCTTTGCATTCGAGGCGAAGATATCTGTTGGATTCTTCTCTCGTCACCCAGAAACGAATGAAGTGGTTTTTGGTCAGTGTGGATGTCGTACTGTCTTCCCCAGACGTACTGGTGGAAATGCTTGACTCCGAAAATAATCGCTAAGGCCTGTCTGTTCAGTTGGGAGTAATTCCTTTCAGCGGGTTACACAGTACGAGAAGCAAATGCGATTGGACGAAGTGTACCGTCATTCGTCCGGCGGCAAATGCTACGCCTACGCCGCGTGGGGAAGCATCGCACAGCAGCACTAGAGACCGGCTCGGATCGAAATGCACGAGATACGGGGAGGCGCTGAGCACTCTTTTTGCATCTGTGAAGGCCTTTCTTTGATCTGGACCCCAAGTCCAGGACTTCCCTTGTGCAACAGTTCGTACAAAGGTTCAACTACTGTTGAGGCCTTTGATAAGGAGCGACGATATTGGGAAAACATCCCTAAAATTGATCGGAGTTCAGCTTCATTCTTGGATTCAGGTGCGACAAGGATAAGCTTGACATCGTCTTCTAACACGTGTAGTCCGTTTTTATCGAGGCGGTAACCAGGGTAACTAACGGAATCTGAGAAAAACGTACACTTAGACTTCTGCAGCTTGTGTCTACTCAGTTGCAGACGTTTGAGCATAGTGAATGGCGTTTGTAAATGTTCGGGATCTGTGTGTCCTGTACTTAGAATGTCATCAAGCTAGGCGCAAGTGAAAGGAATATCTACGATCAGCTTGTCATTGATCCTTTGGAATATCGCCGCGGCTGAACTGATACCGGAGGGCACACGTTTTTGCTAGTATAGACGCATACGTGTACTTATCTTAGCGCATGCGCGAGAGGTCTCTTCCAACACAATTTGTAAGTACGCATGAGTATGGTCTATCTGTGTGAATTTTTGTCCGTTTGCAAGTATAACATACATATCCTTTATCCCAGGTAAGGGATACCTATCCGGGATTAAACAAGCATTAACATTTAGTTTATACTCACCACTAATACGTACAGAAGCATCCGACTTCAGCTCGGGAACTATCGGAGCTCTTCTCTCACTGTATTGGACTGGCTCGATTGCAACTGCTAATTGCAATATCTATCTCGTGTTCCACCTTTGATCTCAGCTACTAAGACAGGGTATGTGCCCTGAAAAAGCGGAGCTGAGTTCTCGGCCTTAATTTGATATTAGCCGGATATCCGTTCAATTTTCCTAGTTTATCATCAAAAACGTCAGAATATTTGTTGAGCACCTCCTCCAGTCGCTGGTTAATGAACACGAACTCCCCTGTCTCTAGCGTAGCCGGGATGCATTTAATCCAGTCGCGCCCGAGTAAGTTTGGACAATCATTCGCCACAACATATGTCTGTAAGGTCCGCTTCTCCCCATGGTAATTAACATGAAGAGTGCATTCTTCCGGGACTGGTATCGGCTGCCCAGTGTACGTACGCAAAGTTGATTCACAGGGAGATAACTTGGCTAATCTCATAGCTGATGCAGCACTGATTATGGTAACTGAGGCACCGGTAACAACTTCCATTTTAACCTACTGATCTATTTCTAATTGCACAGTGTAATGTGGATGAATGCTACAGATGCTCGACGTTGCGTTCCAAATCGTGTTTAGCTGGTCATCTTCGTCTGAAGACTAGACTATTTTCACGGGCACCTTGGAAATCATGATGTCGTAGCTGTGCAGGCTTTGGATCGACAAACTCGGGCCAAGTGCCCTTACTTTCCACCTTGGCTGCATTACTCTGTTTATGACGACATTCCTCGGCCGATTAATCTTGATTTCCACATCGTTAACCGGTGAAAGGTAATTCCGACCGTCTCGGTGTAACATTTGTTCTTTCGATCGCGTGGATTGTGTCTGTTTGAGTTTGTTGGGAAAACTTGTTAACTGTTTTTGGACATTTTCTAGCTGCCGAACAAAATGACAGGCCTTCTTCCAGCTCATCGTCGTCTCATTTTCCGGCAACAGCATTTCACGAGCCTGATCGTCGCGGATACCCGATATCAGACACTGTACAACCATCACTTCTTCGAACTTGGTGGCTAGAATTTCACTATACTGACACTCTAGTAATGTTTGCTGAATCCTCGGAATGGACTCATTTACACTTTCTTCAGGTTTTGTTGTAAGACCGAGAAAGAATACCACGTAGTGTATTTGTTCAGTCATGATCCCCATAACTCGCTAAGGATTTCTAACGCGCTGTTGACTGTCTCCTTCTCACCGATATGGAGGGCATCAAAATGTCTTTGGCCTTCATCCCCCAGAAATTGTCACAATAATTTAATTTTATGGCTCTCTAAGAGTACCGTGTTTGGTTGCAAGACGGGTAATAGCTCCAAATAATCCAAAAAGGGCGCTTCCAACCTTTCCAGGTAGCCGGTGTTGGTTTCTCAAAAGGAAGATTTCAAAGTAGTGTAGCAAGTTGCAATATCTCTGCAGTTTAATCTCGTCGCCAGAATGTTAAGTGTGGCCCTTAACCGATAAACGGAACAGAACTCGCACACGGAGTGTGGAACCGATTTACTAAAAGCATCCTGCGTTACTGTGACTAGAAAAGCCGGAAAGGAAAACCCATGCAACAAGGCAAGTAAGGCAAGGTCATTCTCAACCAATTATGTGGGACCTGTGTTTACGAATCGATACTCAAGTTCTTACGTGACACTCCCCTTGTTGTTAACCATTCACCACGAAGAAGCCATTCACAACAGAAGGAATTCATAGTCATTTGGAGATGACGAATTTGTCCAACCTTAGTCGCTCTCCTCAACTTCTTCTCCTTCGATCGGCCGTCTGACCTGATAGGAATGATGGATCTCTGTGGAGTAGCTCCGTTGCTCGCTGGTGTTCAAAAAGAGAAGTGTGTGTGTCGGACCCATGGTTGACACAATGAGCTATACGATAACCGTTGGAAGCGAACTAGTAGGTTGCCACTTATTGTCTCCAACTTACATTTACCGAATTCCGTTACATTCTTGTGCCACTACCCCAGTGAATGAGTGTGTCACACTTCTGTGTCGCATCCTCTTGTTTTGGATTTTGCTGGCAGTTGTCTCGTTTTGTAGTTTTCAGCTCCCGAACTGATTTCCTTTTGGGTAGCAACTTGCGGTAGCCTACTACAGCTACTCTCTGTGTCGTTTGATTACTATGATGTGATTTCAGGTTTGCGAATGTACCTAATCCGGCACTGTTGGCTGTTCGGCTTCTCTTCTAGGTTGCTCGCGTAGAGCCCAGTCATGACGACTGTATTCAAGTTCCCGCGGACCCATCCACCGGCTCTTCAGTTCGGTGGATCGTTAACCCTCACACCAGTTGTTATCTCGTTGGGTCCGCCAGCCTGGCATCATTCACCGGTCAGTTGTGTTCAAATACACATCTTTCTTATCTTACTTTCAGTATTAACTAAAATTGAAAGGGAAATATGCGTACGGCGTTTCTGTCTCTTAGATTCTCATGTTCCGTTTGGTTCACCGCTTGTTAAGACCATGGACTTTCTTTGCAGCGGACTTACCTGAGGATATCCGGTACCTACGGAATTGCGGTAGTTTTCTGTCATCCATTTTCGATTGTCTCTCCCTATGCACCTAAAATATACGGGATGTGGTAGCAATGGGGGGCTGGTAGGCTATTCCACACGACAGCGTATCTGACGAGCAAGGAGTTGGATCGTGTAGCTGTCCTGCTTATTGGCACAGTTAATGGACAGGTCTTGTTACGCTTATTCCGAGTGAAGTTATGTCACAATTTTAGTGTGCACCAATTGCAGTATGTCTTCTGGTTAATGAGGTTGTGTATCAGCATCAGTCGTCGCAAGGAAAAGGACTCGAGCTTAAGCTGCTGGTAGCGCTGCTGATAACATAAGGTGGTTGCTTTACTGAACAAGCGCTTAGTGATTGATCTTTGCAGATTTTCCAAAGCTTTTCTGTCACTCATACACATGTTCCCATAAATGATGCTGCAGTATTCAAGGACAGTAAGTGTACGAATTTGGAAAGCTCCAGTCTGGCAGGGGTTGTATAGATTTTATGGCATATGTTAGCCGCAGATCGTTTGGCACGTGCTATTTGATACTCAGCTTGCTCAGAGAAATTAAAAATTTAAGAGGATCGTATGCCTAGATCAAAGTTGGGTAGTTTTTCACAGATACGTTCATTATTCAGTTTAACTGACTCTTTAAGGACCAAACATCCATGTGACATAATACATGGTTTACTAGCTGCACACTTTAACATCCATGTGTCGCACCACTTCTCAAGGTCACTTTTTCATCATCCTTCCACTGGCATCACTGTTACAAGTATCTGTTTCCGCCCACTGCCCGCAACTGTCAAATCTTGTCATGAGTTCTCTCTTGTACATCATTCTATCTTTTAAAACTACGGTTGCAGGACTATATTACGATCGTTTTCTATCCAGGCCATCGTATAGTCTAGGCCTACACCTCAAGGTAGCATTACTTATATATGTATTACGCTCGGGTCGCAGTACTACAGATATGGTATTTGCGGTTCGTCAGTTGCAGGAGAAGTGCAGAGAACGACACCAGCCTTTGCACTCGCTTTTTGTTGGTTTCACCAAGGCATTTGATACGGTGAACCGCGAGGCATTGTGGCCGGTGTTGGGTAAGTTTGGTTGCCCGCGTAAGTTTGTGAGTTTAATTGAATATCTGCACAGTGGTATGCGAGCGAGGGTGCAGCTGAGTGGAGAGACCTCGGATGACTTTGCAGTTTGTCTCTGGTGTGAAGCAAGGCTGTGTCTTAGCTCCTTCCCTGTTTAATATATATCTTCATGCAATGATGTCTTGTGTTTTTGGTGCCACTTGTGCTTACGGTGTTCTTGTGGAGCACCGTATTGATGGTGGGTTGCTGAAAATCCGTCGTTTCGGTGCGAGAACTCTAGTCTGGGAGACAACTATCCGTATGCTGCTGTTTGCTGACGACTGTGCGTTGTTTGCACACAGCGCGGATGAGTTGCAGCACACGACTAGTGCTCTGGCATCGACAGCGGCCAAATTCGGGCTCACCATCAACACAAGCAAAACTGTCTGTCTTTCGGCACTCACCGAAGGTACAATCTTCAATATTGCCGCGAATTAGCATTGGTGCTGAAGTATTGGAAACCACCTCCCGCTTCTGCTACCTTGGGTGATATCGACTGATCAGCAGCTACACAGTGAGCTGCTTATCCGCGTGTCGAAGGCAGCGGCGACATTCGAGAAGCTAGAGTACCGAGTGTGGAACAACCATCAGCTTACGATTGGCACTGAGCTGATGGTGTACAACTCTATGGTGCTGTCCGTTCTTCTATACGGCAGTGAAACGTGGACGATGTACCGGGGGGGTGTGCGATATCTCGAGCGGTTTCGTCAGCAGTGTTTGCGACGGATTTTGCGCGTCGGATGGGGCGACAGAGTTGCTGACACGGAGGTGTTGCGACAAAGTGCGATGTATGCAGTGGACTGCATACTTTTGCTGAGACACCCTGGGAAGCTCGTTCATGTGAGCAGTATGGATTCGACGCGGATACCGAAACACGTGAGTAGTGGGAAGTGGCATGTGGGGAAACCAAAGTTATGTCACCAGAACATGATCAAAGTGAGTCGCTCACGTTCTAACCTCGATTGCAGGTCATGGGAATCGAAGGCGGTTGATCGTGGTGCATGGCGCGATCTAATCACGAAGGCAGTTGCCGAAGTGCAGGAGAAAGACCTCATACATGCAGAGAAGAAGCGGCAAGCACCGAGGGATTGTTGTTCATCGACATCGAGTGCATGGTGCTGTAGCACATGCGGTCGCGAGTGGTTGAGTCAGGCAGGTCTAGTGAGCCATGTGCGAGGCCACTCGGAACCACTACCGAAGCGACGACGGGTCCTGCAAAGAACGTAGACAGAACCGGCGCATCGTTCGTAGGTATGCTGCATGCGATTTACTAACTGCGTGCTTGCATGCTAAGTCTATTTATTTCAGGTAGTGGGTTTTCAGTTTTGTCCTAATGCTTTTCTTTTTCATATTAATGTCTACCAGTACTCTCTTCTTTAGACTTGCACGCGTCCCTTAAGCTAATTGTAGTTAATTTAGGTAACATTTTCCTGTTTGTGGCTGTTAGGAAGGAATACGCGAGTCGAACAAGCCAGGACCCCATCGCTGCGGCCGGCGAACTACTTTTCTTCCTGGACCTGAATTGATGACAGCATCCGAGGTCACTTGGATATCGGATAATTTTGGACGTCCCACACCGGAGTGCGGTCTACCAGCGGTATGGGATGTGCAAAATTATCCGATACCCAAGTGGCCTCGGATGCTGTCATCAATCCAGGTCCAGGAAGAAAAGTGGATCGCTGGCCGCGGCGATGGGGTCCTGGCTTGTTCAACTCGCGTATTCCTTCCTAACAGTGGCATTTCCGTAAAATATACTTTCTGACTTCTGGAACTTGTCTCGGATTCGTTTGTAAATAACTTATTTCATATGCTCATTAATTTAATATTTATGTCACCGTTTCCTAATGCATTACTCGATTTATTTTATTTGTTATCTTTCTCTCAAGTGCTTGGCTGTTGGTTGATATCCTCGGTGTGGCTACGCTTGATTTGCATGTTGACAAGGTGCCTACCTATCTATTACCCACTACCTCGTTCATACTGCCTCTAAGAGACAGTTGGTCGCTGCTGGAAGGGACGGATTGCACTGTCCTTGTGGCCGTGCTAGGCTCGAAGAGTGGTTCCATGCACTCAGTGTGGAGCGGACTACGGTCCAGCCACCGCCTTGTGTGCGGTTGATTCCCAAATACAGTGTGCTTGTGTTTGCCTGTGAAGGAGTGTGGGCCGGCTCCGTTGATGAAACGTGGCTCCCATCCACATGCCTCCCGGTCTCATTCCTTCGGGTTTACACTGGATATGTGGTGTGTGGTTGGAGCTGTGGGTGGTGCAGCGCAAGCAACCCATGGTCCTTCTGTAGGCGCAGGCGTCCTGTGGCTGGCCACAGTGACAGGCAAATCCGAAACCGGATGCTACCAACCATTATGCGACGTAATTAGATTTAGCCTAGTCCCTTCGTTACACATCGGTGCATAATCTTCTGCCCCATGAGTTAACTATGGTAGGTGCGTGTCTATGGCTAAAACTTCATTTCGAATGTAAATTTTACCGAAGGACTAGTGGTCGTAATTTAACTCGCTTCATGGGTAATAGCGTCATTGTACACGCTCATTTGAAGGGCTTACTACTGTGACGGGAGAATAGGATATGCAGCAGCGAGTGGTGTTTAGACGGCATAGCTTTTCCAGACACCTTTCTCAAAACGTTACATGTCATATCTACCAGGCTTAATTGTAAGGAATGCCTATTTTGCTAAGCTGCTTTGTTGGAATCTCACTTTCCGTCTACAAGAGCCTCCTCAATAACCGTTTTGTTATTAACTGGGATAAAACTACGCACCTATTGAACACTCCTTGCTCAGGTCAGTTAGGTCTGACCAAGCGCCACCACAATTCTACCGCAGTAGCTCGGTAATGAAATACTGTTGTCTTGATTTTGCACGCCTGCATTCGTTCCAACTACCCCTCAACACGGTATGCATCGATCGGTGAACTTGCTCTGTGGCGTGCCGTGGTTGAATTCAATTCAACCATCCAGCGTTTTCACTATGGACGAGACTGGAAAATACACCTGTACCCAAGTGCACTTGCCTATGGCCTTCACTGCGGTCGTTCACACCCGTGTGATCATATGAGAGACTTTTTGAGATAGACTAACATCTACTTTTGGACAGTTGGCAATTTACTGCGCTCTCCTCTCACCCGAAGGCGCGACCCTTGGTCGCAGAGTAGCATAGTAAACAGGGACCAAACTTATGGGACTAACTGTAGTTTTGTCATTATTGTCAAGATAGTTTGACGGTTTCTTTGGTCACAGCCTATCCCCATTTCTCTGTGACAGTCATATTCTATCCTCCTTTTGAGTGCGTATGATGAAACATTGCGCACTGTCCAGATTTCTTGCTTTCGGACACTAAATCTTTGGTTCAGTGAAACCAGTTACGAAAAAATTTAATAAAACTGATTCATTGACCGGATGCAAATTTCCGGGACTCTGTTCAATAATATCTTATCGTTGCTCTGGAAAGCAGGGTCGTTTCCCCGAGTGATGTCAGTGCACCCTCTTCATTTTGCCTATGTATTTGTCGACTTTTTCATTTATTCCCATTTAGTATATTCGCAGTTGAGAATGTGAACTACTTAAAGTGCACCTATTTGGGTGCACAGCGCTATTCTTAACTTAATTTGACTGACTATCGCTTATTAATGATGTCTCTGGTTTTAACTCTATCTCTTTTATCTGCATCGTCTGTGAGGTTGGGTTGCTCTTCCGTTTAGGCAGCAAAATTTGCAGGGATGCTGCGTCTAGGTATACCTCATGTCGCATGAACATGGCCTCGAATTCGATACATTCTTTTCGGTCGGTCTTCCACTGTTTAGGATTCTTGTTTACTGTTCCTGTGATTACGTGTGGAACAGATAAAAGGGCAGCGCAGTAATGGGGACCATGCCATTTAACTCAAAAGGGCACACTACATTTAACCAGTCGGTCTAATCTATCATTCACTTTCGTCTTGTCTGCTTTGATGCAAGACAACACTCCGACTTAGCTTCCTATGAGGCCACCACTAGACAGTCGATACCGATTGATGTATCTTCTTCACATACAGTTGATATACTGTACTAAGTATGGAGTTTTCTCTCAGAAAAGAACTATAACTGTTCCCCACATTGTTTTATGGGCTAGTGTTCAATTCCGATTTTCCATTTTCGTATTGCATCTGCGCATTCAATGCGGTAGGCTCTTTTTACCTTTGACACGCATATCTCTTCATTTTTGTAGTTTTCACCCTAACCATCCTACGGGACTTGTTGTTAAGCATATGCTTTTTTGACTATGATAAATCATTATTTATTGGCCATTGTTCACTATGGAGGACCTAATATATTGGACACTGGAATCTTGAGCCCAAAGATCATCACTGAGTGCATGATTCCTCCTTTCAGCCTGCGTTTAAATTATCCTGTAAATGTCTCGCTAGAATTTGATTGTAATGACTTGCTCACGTTGGAAAGCGCATGCCTCGTGAAACAGAAGACAAGCACAGCTAATTTAATTATTTTTATCTTTTATTTGGCAATTTTGCTTCTAAATTAGGCATCACACCTCTTTTTGCCTGTAGTAATCGCTTCCCAATTAACACCCTGAATCTTCTCCATCATTCCATCCAGCCTATATACTGCGACAGCAGTTCCGCACACAATCCGCTCTTCCCCTCCGGCTTGTCAGTTTGGGCTCTGTATACCATCGTTCGAGTGGAGCAGATGTACTGCGTAAGCGACCCGCACCGTTGACTCCCTAATCACAACTTGCTCACAATTCGTTTTATTTTCTGCTACTATTTGTATTTTAGTAGTTACATAAACATGAAATGTCTTGTTCAGTGCCTAGTCCACTGTTTCCCAACCGATTGAAGGTTTCGCCAATACCTTTATCGACTTAGAAGACGCGGCTGGTTCAATCAAGTAGTCCTAGGTACCGAATTTTGATTAATTTCCTGCTCATTTTTGCTTCATTCTCTGTCTACTGCTCTCTGACCTTAGTTGCTAGGGCAACACCCAAGTGGAGTAAACGGTGCGAAATTTCTGAGCACGAATTATGCAATAGCTTCAGCTTCTTTATTCCTGACATATGATTGGACTGTTTCATACCGTCCGTGGGTAATACAGTATAAATCTCTCGATATCGAACTGATTCACTCAGTCATCAGTGATTCCAATTTTTGCTCACTTAAATTTCGCATCCAATTAGTGATGGTGCAGCTAACGGTTTGGATAGTGGGCTTCCAAATCAATGGCTATCGGTTCCTCTGTTTTAGGGGGACATCTGCGCCTACTCACAGCGCACTAGAATGTGCATGCGGCACATGCTAAGCTGAAAGGCTGTCAGCGTCTAAAGGAGCTCATCATTGCTAAGAGATCAATCTTGTGGTCCATGTTCGTCACCTCCATCTGGCCTATATTTGTGAATTTGGGGGAAGAGATTAACGACATTGTCCACAGAGGTCTGCGTGAGTGCTTAGAAATTTCGTACGGTTTCTATTGGCGTTTGCCTGGCTATCACTCCCAAATTCATTGAATGATCATATCGCAGCTGTTCCGCAGTACACTTCGTCCTAATTGGTTGGTAAGTGGGGGAAGAATTGCGCTGTTTATTCCTTCACCTAGCCAAGCAATTCGTGTGCGGATGTCACATGACCAATCGAGGTGACCTCTTCAGTGCGTAGTGGTGGTGGATCTGTAGTACTAGCGGTAGTCCTCCCCATCATCCTCAATTCACGTTGGCTGAAGGTGAGCAACGCACCATAGCTAATGTGCCGCGATACAAAAAGGTATTAAAACCTACACTAGAAAGAACTTCAAAAAGCAACTAATAATATAATGTCATCTCTTGTGATGCATTTGCTATGGGATCGTAATTGGAGGGGAAATCTAAAGGAGAGAGGGTGGACAAGGAAACTCACAACACAAACTCCATTGGAGCCGGCTCATCGCCATATCAGCAAGTGTGTCCAGTCAAACGTGTTCGTAGTTTTTGGGACTCCAGACAAGCAGTCCGGATACACCAACTTCATTCCCCTCGACTATGTCATCGTTTAGCCTCCTCTCATCGGCTTCTATCCAGACCCCGGGCACACAAACACAAGTCGCGGGAGTCGGTGGGATGGCATACATAACACGTGGCTTAGCCATCAGCGCCTGGTGCGTTATATTATGGCACTGAGCGGTTCACTCGCTTTTCCATTATAGGGCGTCTGGCTTGTAGTCCTGAGATAACGCGTCCTAGTTGTTTCGACTTTTAGTCAAAACGAACTAACTTTCTACAAAGATGGTACCCCACGCGCAGTATAACCATCCGAATTCATAACTTTGCGGGCTAACGTAACCTACATGCCAGACATAAATGCGATCTGAGACTGGAGGCGTGAACGCCTGACCAAGCACGACTGCACTGAGACCCAACGAAAAAGAAAGGCTGGCCGTTGGCGAGAGTGCTTCTACTGACTCAGCCAAGGCGAAGCATGCCTTCTACACCTTCATATTTATAGCTCAATAGGATAGCAGTGTAATGCATAAACTATGGCAAAATGTGGATGTTTGCAAGGCATATTAGTTGTCACCCTGTGGTAGTTTCCTGAGAGGAACTCAGTTGAGGGCAATGCTACTTTGTGCGGTAACTATCGCAGTGTGCTGAGGATAGCGCCGATGGTTCACTGAGCATTGATGCGATAGATACACGGGTGTCATGAAAAGAGTTCAGTGGGTTGACTTCAGCTTGCAATGTTGATGCATCACTTGGTTCACTGTGGCTGCCATCAATGTCCGGCGGATGACTCGGTTGTTACGTACGCAGTCTGAGTCGTCTCATGGTGATTGTATGTCTGAGATGAGCCCGGTGAGATCTGTGCAAGTTTCACGGAGCTATGCGGGCTCCACAGCAAATCTACAGCTCGCCGATTCCCTACCGCTTAGATGCGGATGGCCTTGCCATATCTATGGCTCGCATGCAATTCACGATGGTCGTGTATCAACAAATCGTCGGTGCCACGTATCTGCGTACTTCCAACACCTATTTTGATCGCCGCTTTGCTTTGTGAATTTTATGAGTGGATGTCCTGCGCACGGAACATTTCTTTACTACAAGCAGTTTAGAGGTTGCGGTTTTAAAGAGATATAGGGACAATTGGTTGACGTGTACTCCGACGGTTTACAGGTTACCTTTTTCCAAACATGCGCCGGGCAACATAAGCCCGGTGACGTACCATCATATTTTGCGGCTACTTCAAATGTGGCGGAAAAGCTCTTTATTTGCCATTCGAAGCTAAGCTTTTGCACTTCCGATCGGACGGTTAGCGTTGCAGATTGGTACCAACGCAACCCACATTTCACGCAGCATTCTCTGTCGGTGCAATCACGATTTTTGCGTCTTCTATGTCCCATCTAAGTAAGCCATGATGCTGTGCTTCTCACGATTGACCAACTAAGTGACCACCCGTGTTCCCCGGCTGAGGTGGTATGATTACTCACTACTTCCAATTAGTGCTTGTTAATTTACTCGCATGATAAAAGTTGCTCATCTCCATATATACCACGTTGACATGTCAATGTCTTCTTACACTTGTCAACTGTTACATCATTTTCAATCCCTTGGGAAGTGTCGGTGTTTGGAACCTCAAGCCACCATTCTTACCCTTAATTGCTACCGCGAGTTCTTGTTGCAAAATTGAAGATTGGGTGTTCTGTAGCAGGTGGGGTACACCTGACGGCGTTCACACCTACCAAAAAAGCATTTGTGGTGGGATCTTGCGAGTACTTTACACGCTGATTGCCCACTCTCTGGTGGTTTATGTCAACTAGACATCACTTTTCTGTTTTGTTTCAGCTTTAAATGGTGAATCCGCTTCTCATCATCAACAACCCTTTCAACAGCGGAAGCAGGTGAGTGATTTTTGTTCGCCTCGGCACTGCCAATAAAAGCACAAGTCTAGATTCACATCATACCTTAATGCTAATTTACGTCGCAGCTCATCGCAGCACGGCACGGGGGAGTGTTCACCTAATTTCAGCTTCGTCTTTGCTTTTGGATAAGTTAGGTAGCATTTTAGCTCGGAACTAACCTATTCAATGCACATTAGTGCATTAGTGCACATTAGTGCATTAGTGCACCCAATGAATCTGGTGCATGAAATGCACCGTTCGCTGATGAGTTTTTGAGTCTTGCTTTAGATTGATGACCTTCGTCCGTGTAGATCATTTAACAAATACGGACGTACAGATCCAACGCTGATGCCAATTTGTGGTTCATCCATAGCCAATTCGCTACAAACCACTGTGCTTACATTCGTTCGACTCGGATTTATCAGCTCTACAACGTGGATAGTTCTTTTGTTTGGATTATTCTTATCGCTCCAACGTCCGATTCACATCTGCGTTTGTGCCGGATTTATCGTTAATATCTACGCAAGAAACACCTCGGATTTTTTGTGCCCATTCGAAAGCGCTTTCTGAAGGCGATTGAGTAACCGGAGACCGTGCTTCTTCAATACCATTTGTTGTCGCTTTCTCGCATTTTGCCGTACGTTGCTACTCGCCTAGCATTCAAACGGGGTTAATCGATACCCCAGTCACTCTCCATTTTTTGTGACCTTACTAGTCAGTACGCCTGCATAACCCATCACACCGACCGCGCAGCCATGCCGACCGCTCCTTTGAGGTTTTGAACCACAACGCTCGCCTGAAAGCTGTGCCGCGCTATCAGAGCCGGAAAGGTACAAAGCATCAACGAACGCACTGGGTCAGGCAACGACACCACGCTGAACGGCAGAAATCAAGCAAATGCGAATTCAAATGGGGTCCAGCCGATGGGTAAATGCGGGTTGGGAGGATATCATCGCTTGGTTACATTAGGTTTAGCTTGATCTCATTGTTTCATGTGGTATCATCCGAAGTGTGCAAATTTATTCCAACAACAGGTATGAGAGTAAAATAGCTCCCAAGACGCCATTTGATTTTGTACTGCGTGCTCGACCATCCCATTCGTCAACTCTATTCTTAGCCTAGTCAGAAGTGCGATGGTTTAACAGCAGGATCCGAGCAGCGGACGAACGATAAAATTACTTCATTAGAAGCGAGCATGCACCATTGAATTCTAGTGGACTCTAAACACACAAATGGTGCACAATTTGTTTCCTGTGAGGCACATTCAGTTGAGTCCACATCACGGTTGTCTCCTCCAAATTCGGCAAAACGCCAGGCCAAAATTGACCTTACCTACTTGAATCAAGCGGTACTGATGACCACGGAAATCAGGCACCAACCGAAACATCTAGTTTAGCAAATTCCACTAGACCTGACAGCTATCATTAACAAGGCTGATGCAGCCGAACACCAGCCCTCTGCACCTGCAGGCCAAAGGTATCTTGTCGAGCCAAAGTCACCTGGGACACCAGTTACAAATACTGAGATTACTGCGAAGGTCAGCCGGAAGGTCTCTTCTGTTGAAAACACCGCTAGCATAAATAGAGAGACAAACGATAGACAATCACCACTTGGCAGCCGGTCGGGTCAGACGACTACCCTATCTTGTAGCTCATCGAAAAAGCAAGCTAACAATAGTGCCTTGACTGTTATGTGCGCAGATGTCCCCGAATCTACCGCCATCACTTTGCATGGTAAGTTGTCTGACGAGCAAGACCAATGAAACTCTTTTTGCGTTCTGATTTGCGTCAAAGCCAAACACATAAACTTAATACCGACATACGTTACATTATGTATTCTCGGCAGTGCGAGACACGTCTGCATAGGCACGGTCATCTTGACACAAAAATGATCGGACTTTTGAAGATATGTAACCATTTAACTAGTTGCAAACTGGGTTTAAATGATTATGTGCATAGGTAGTTGTGTGTAGCTATGTTTTATGGAACACTGCATGTGTGCTTGTGTTTGATTTGGTTGTCAGTGCATGAATGGATCACAGGAACCCTTCACAGTCGATGTGTGACCTCTGTGGAGGAGGTGGGATCATCTTGATGAGCAAGAGGCAGAGACTTTATTTAGTTGCGAGTCACATATGCCACGTCACAGTGTTGTTAGACGCACACTTGTGGCTTTTTATAGGGAGTACGCTTGCTACGCGGAAGCGCACCACGTCCTGAAGTACTTCGCCGAACAATTCGCTGGAACAAGGTTGACCTGAACCACTCAGCTGGCACAACGAGGAGATTAATCTTCACTCGAATTCTGCACACTATGGAGAAACGTACTTATTCGAGTAACACTAGAAGCCTCTACTGATGTAGAAAACCTTTTACTCTCTGAAAGCGCGCTACAACACGGATCATATGGGATACGCATCTTTCCTGATGTCCCTTGGAGCGCGCGACAATCAAAAAGCAACACCGATGGGGGACACACCAAGCATGATCGCGTAAACACAATCTTCATCCATGGCGTGCCAAAGCTTCCTTCCAACAATAGTCAAGAGGCCGAAAATCACGATTTATACTGCTGGCGGTTCATTCGTGAAACACTTTCTTTAGATAATATTGAGGCGCTATCGCACAAAAGGCTACTCCTCTCACCAAATTATAGAGGATGCGGTCCAAAAGTCCTAAGACTTGTGGCTCATTCAGAGCAAACAGCAATGCATATTTTGGATCGATGGCGAAATCGGAGAAGTCTTCCTTCTGAAATTCGGTTAAAGGCTGCAAAAGCTTTGCAAACTCCGGCTATTAAAGCAGCTGAAACAGCAAACGTACAGGCGATGATACAGGAACTTAACTTGGCTGCTCCTTTACTCGACTCTGACGTGGGTTTATAAGAGGATTGCGACGCGCCTTGGTCGAATCAAGTTACAGACGAGGTATCAGTAACCCATCAAAAAGACGGGTAACTGCCGACTTCCCATTGGTCAGCATTCTCCCACACATGGCTCCTTTAGCCCCCTGTGGGCTCCTAGAGGCCGAGAAACTATCCTGTCTTTATACAAATGCCCGAGACTCATTCGGTAATCTGACCGAGCTGAAAACTCGCCAGGATTCCAAGTCGTGTGACATCACCAATATCACTAAGATGTAGTTAAACACCCGATGATGGACGCTGAAGTTTCGCTACCGGGCATGTCCTTCATCCGGAACGATAGATTAACAAAAGTAGGATTGAAAATGTGTAGTGGTAGAAATTCGTCGCATCTAGACTCACTCAGACAGCCGTCACACGCCCGGAAAAGCACTGTACGCGCGTTTCATCCTTTCGGGAATCATCAGTGCGCATTTCATCGGACCATGGTAGGGCTCGAACCCGCGACTCGACTGTTGCCAGTCCCTGCTTAAGCCCACTGAGCTACAGGGAACGGCAACGACCATCGTGAATTAGTTATTAGATGTGATATAGCGCCGCTCACTATTCACCGATTTACACGTTACTGTGATATAGAAGCAAATGTTGGTAGCTCAGGTTGTTCAGTTGGTGGTCTGAGTGTTCGCTGAGCTCGACAGTTTGACTGCAAACGTTTCGTCACCACCCGAGGTAACATCGTCAGTGCGGGTTTGTGTAGCAGAGCGGCATGGTACGAAGCGTCAGTGGGTGCGAGTGATCGATCTTCTAGCCGTCAGTCTGAATTTGTATCGTTCAACGGGCACATGACCATCGAAATCGATCTCTGGTTCTTGCCTCGTAGCGTACGCGCGTGTGCCTCTTCGGTTGTCGTCGTCCTTTGACGCATTTGTCCGGCGTTCTGTTCCGTTAGATTTAGTCCACTAATTTGGTGATCTTTCATCCGTAGCGCTGCATATATAGCCTCTATTTCAACGCGTCGGTTTATTGAATTGTCATAAGTCGTCTAGATCATCGGATACATCTTTCCACGCTTCAGTATTGCGGGATACGGGACCCTCTTTTAAGCTGGATCGCCAACTTTCTCCTTCAACGGCAATTGGTGGTCAGAGTTCGGAGCCCTTTATCCGACTCCATAGAAATCGAGTGTGGTGTGCCGCAACGCTCAGTTCTTAGTCCACAATTGCTTTTGGTATTTATTAATGATCTCGCACAGGCAATCGCTGCAGACTTCCTATTGTTTGCCGAAGACATCAACATTTGGCGCAGGATTCAGGTCAATGCCGACCCGCATACGCTTCATAATGACCTAGACGGTATATCGGTGGTCAGTCCAAAATTTACTGTATTTCAACGTGAGCACATACAAGACACTCTGCATACGACACCAGATCAACTACTCACACAGGTTCGGATCGCATGTACTGCAGCAATCATCCGTGGAACATGATCTGGGTTTGGTGGTTCAAGGTGATTTAGTTTGCTCTAGGCAATCCGAAAACGTCTCTAAGTCTGGAAACCAATACGTCGGTCTGCTAAGACGAACGTTCGGACCAATAGACTTCTATTTTTCGACAGATGCTCAGTGCATTTGTTCGTCCCCATGTCGAATACGCCATTCAGGCATGGCATCCATAGCTGAAACACGACCTTAATGCACTGGAGCAGCCTCTACATTGGGCACCAAAGTTTATCATTTGAATGCGCAATCTCCCATACGAGCAGTGGCTGAAACAATTGTTTGTATTCAGCGGACGATATTGTAGATTACGAGGCGACCTGATAATGGCCTAATTGATTCCGCCCTATTCCCACAATGTGTGCCGCTCCTTACTGCAACGCTGCAGTAATACAAACCTGAGGGGTCACCCATTGAAACTCGCAGAACAGTATAGCCGTCTGGAGGGCCGCAGAAATTTCTTTTCCATTCGCATGTGTCACCCGTAGAACAATCTCTCCGAGTCTGTCGTCTTTGCACCGACACTAGCAATATTTACAATACAATTGAATGACACACTCATCTACTTACACTTTGTTAGTTAGCACTATGTCTCCATCCTACTCCTGGAATACGTCTTGGATTTATTTGCTGTTACTTATAG